TGCGGGAGGCTACCGCTGTGGACCCTGGGACTTGGACCATCTGGGATGAATCGGCGACACCAGACGTGTTCTTGGACCCGACGCCGGTTGTCAAGCCCTTTGTATACATGCGCATTCCACCATCGACCGTGAAGATCATCGTGCCTTACTATCATGGCAGGGGCGCGTAGCTGAAAAAAATAATCAACAAATCGATTGTCGGGAAAAAGAGACAAATCGACTTACGAAAAAAAAAAAAGTCGACTGTCGAAGCCGCCCCCTTCTCTTCCTCCGTCGTTCATTCTCCCTCATCATGCATTGCGTCATCCTCCACTCTCCCCCCCCATCTTCGTCGTCGCCGTAGTCGTCGCCATCGAGGAGGGAGGAGGAGGAGGAAGGAGGAGGAGGAGGAGGAGGAGGGCGAGGGGGAGGAGGAGGAGGAGGACGGAGAGGAGAGAGGAGAGGAGGAGAGGAGGGGAGGAGGGAGGAGGGACAGGGGTTGCGGGCGAGGGGGAGGAGGAGGAGGAGGAGCCCCCCCTCTCCTCCCCCCCCCCCCCCCCACCCCCCACGGCTCGCGTCCCCGCCTCGCGGACACCGAGACGCCGAGAGAGAGAGGCGATTATCTTCGTGCCCCCGTGCACCGCCCCGTCCTCTCCCCCTTGCATCCGTTTATCTTCCCTCCAACATATGCATATATAATGCACATGCATATTACACGGTATGCCCATAGTGCATACATATATATATATAGTACATATATACACATGGTACCTCCTTCTTGCCAACTGTCTCCCCTCCCCCCCCCCCCCCCCACACCCTCCCCCCCAACCCCCCCCCGTCCTCCCCCCCCCTCCCCCCCCCCCCCCCACTCCCCCCCGTCCTCCCTCCCCCTGCCCGTCGCCCGCCAGATGGCGAAGTGCGTGCTGAAGGACGCTGCCGCGACCGCCCGCGACTCCAGGCCCTAGCGCGACCGCGCCCGCAACCAGGCGCAAGGTGGAGGGCGTAACGCGCGCTAGATACGATTACGACGTACGCTTACGGTGTAGATATTGATATCTCACACATCGTCCACACTTTTTCAACGTGCAAATATAAGCTACGAGCCGAGCCGCCTTGCATTTTGATGAGAGTTCTATGGTCTTGACTGTTAATGTACATGTTACCAGAAAAAGCCAGAGCACCATTATTTCAAAAGTATGTCGTTGCTGGTGGATCCAGGTCAAACACTTCATTGTTACCAGAGCAAAATCTGGATCACAAGTTCTCAACATATGTGTTGGTGTTGTGGATGGCCAGGTGCCGCAAACATGTGAAGAACCGTTGTTAACCATGTTAAAAATTATGTTAAACGCTTCAACATAAGTTGAAATCGTCGACTTATAAGTCGAAACAGTTCGACTTAGTAAGTCGAACTACGTCGACTTAGTAACTCGAACGTTCGACTTAGCTAACTCGACTTAGGTCGACTTAGTAAGTTGAGTTAGGTCGACTTAGCTAAGTCGACTTATAACTTGATTATAACTCAATTACTAAGTCGAAGAGTTCAGGGCTAATTGAGTTAAGTATAAGTCACCTAACTTGGCTATAACCCGACTTATAATTCAACCTCCTAAGTCTGCTTTTTTTGTAAAAGTTTTTCTGTTTGGGTGTGGTTTGTTTGGTTTGGTTTTTGTTTTTTTTGTTTGGTTTTCTTGTGGTTGTGTGCTTGGTTGTTGTTTGGTGTTTTTGGTTATGTTTGTTTGGTTCTTGTTGTCTGGTTGATTTTTGTGTTTGAGTTTTTTTGTGGTTTTTACTTTTTTTTTTATTTTGTTACTTCAGCGAGCTCTAATAAGGTATTTGACGCCGGCTTATAACTCAGACGCTGTCAGTCACTATTAAGCGCGCCAATTTATAACTGAGTTATAACTTAGCTATAACTTAGTTATAACTTAGTTACTAACAGGCGTCCTCAACTTATATCTAAGGTATAACCCGCCGTTCATCTCAGCAGTGATCTCGGGTAGTTGGAGATCGCGCGCAGTCGACCGGCTGCCCTCGAGGGGGGCCCTCTGTCGATAGTTTCTCACCGCTCGAGCTGGAGGTTTCGGCGCTCTGCGCGGCTCGCGTGCGCTCGCCCGCGCGCTAGGCGCGGTGGTCTTGGCTGCGAGGAATGGCCCCGTGAGGGTCGGCGGAGAGAAAAACGAGATTCGAGGGAATTGTGTCCAATGCGGCCGAGATGCCACATTTCTTTTTGTTGGATGTGCTAAGAGACAAGTTGGCGTTGCTCGGGGAGTACCCATGGACCGAGTATCTCGTGTTCAGACTTGCAATGGTCGGAGTTGCGTGCGCAGAATAGTCCTTTGTCGGGCGCCCTGTTGGGCGTCAGTGCTTCCGTGTCCACTCGGGGGTTGAGGGTGCATAGATTGTTCCATCGCGTGGACAATCCTTGCGGGCAGTGGCCGTTCTGCGTTTGCTGCTTTGCTGAACCTGTCACTAACCAGGCAGCTACGAGTGCTGCGGCGCACCAGGGGTAGCCTGTGTCATCGGGGGCTCGGCCAAGTAGGGGCCGTAGTTTGAATCCTCATCTTCTCGCCTCACATCTCGCACGCCGCCTTTCCAATCGGCGGCACGTTCGTGCACCCTCTTGATCGCCTTTCCGCTCGCCGCACCTGATCTCCTCGGCTCTGAATGGGAAGGGGAGAGCGGAGTTGGGATCAGGGGAGGGGGGATGGAGGATGAGAAAGAGGGACGGGGGCGGATCGAAACGAGATGGGGATGACTAGGGAGGGAAGAGAAAAATAATGATGGACAAGGGAGGCTGAAGAGAGGAGAGAGGTGAGGACGGGATCGGTGGGCAGAGGGGGAAGGGAAGGAGGGACGGAAAGGATGAAGCAGTGGAGGGACGAGGAAGGAACACGACGAACACCCAAGCGTGCCGCGGGGCCCAACGACCGGCTCTGGGGGCCGAAATGCAGGCAACACGCGTGGATTGATCGTGACATTACACCAGAAAAAAAAACAAATCAGTGGATGGTTTGACAAGTCAGTGATATCCATCGTGAGGTCGATAGTGATATCGATCGCGAAGCCGATCATGATATCGATGGTGACATCGATGGTGTGATCGATTGAGTGAGGTGGATACTGAGATCGATCATGACATCGATGGTGAGCTCGATCGTGGGATCCCGAAATCGGCCCATAACCAGCAACCGGGAACCTGGGAACCCGGCACCAGGAACCTAGCTGGCTACCGAAATCGGCACAGGATGTCCGCTTATTTTTTCAATATCCGCGATGTCCCCTTCAGTGCAAGCATTGATTGGGGAATATCGTTCGAGATTTCGGATTGCGAGTCGTAAAAATCGGAAGCGACGACGATAGGGGCAAATAGCTCAGGGGCGGGCATCACACGCATTCGCCTGGGAGCTTCGCCGACGACATGGACCACTGGCGCCTTTGGATGCATGGATTGTCCTCCCCTGGGCTATTCGCCCCCGTCGTCGCCCCCGAAAACCGCCCCCCCGCCGCGGAGAGTGAGAGCCCCCACTGACGCTTCCCGCGGGGGGCCCGCGGTTCCACTGGAGCACCGTGTGGGGTCACCCGCGCAGCGCCGGGGAGTTGGCGGAGCGCCTCCACCGCGAGCGGTCGGCGGCGCCCGCCTCGGCGCCAGATCGCCAGGGTATCGGATCAGGGGCTTGGATGAGGATGTCCCAACCTACCTTAGCCTTGATCACCAGAAAGAATTTCGAGCACCAAAGAAATACCGAAACTCGGGGGTTTTCACGTGTCGGGCCATGGGAGACACTCGTCCGACACTGCTTCGACACTGTCTCGACACTTTTGTGCTCGAGATTATTTTTCTGGGATGTGGTCTTGAAGTGCGATGGGAACAACGAAAATAAAGGATGAGGATGAATCCGTTCCAGATCGTTCTGGCCTCCCGCCCTCCCAGCCCCCGTTTTTCGCACACCCGCTGGCTCGCCCCGGGCCCGCTCTCCCGCCCTCGAGACAGACCCCCCCTCAGGCCATCGCCTTCGTCAGCCCGGGCGAGGAAGCGCGTGCACCAACCAGGGCTCACGTGACGGGGGCGAGGATAGCGGAGCGTTCCAGAACCCTCTCAGAGCGTTGTGGAACGCCCTGAGAAGGCCGCGGTGTCCGATACATCCTTCAGAGCCGCTGGCGCTCAGAGATTCTCGACATATCCTCACCAGATGTTATCAGCATCCTGGCTTCGTCTTAGTATCAGATCAGGGGCAGCGCTAGGTGGCGGTAGGCTCAGAGGTTCGAGGTTCGAGGGTCGAGGTCCGCTCACCGGAGGTGTTGGTGGTCCTGGGGCGTCTTCGTGGTCACGGCTGGGTCCGCCTCGGAATTCTAGGCAGAACGCACCCCAGGAAAGGTCCAGGGACATGCTCAGGAGGGGAACGGTTCGGGCTCGAGGTTCAGGGTTTTCCGATGTTTTCGTCGGTTGTCCGCGGTTTTCCAGCCTCAGAGTGCTTTCCAGCAGCTGCGCCTCGCCGAGGGCGTTTTGGGGATATTCGGATCGTTCCGAAAAGCCTCAGGAAAACTGAGGTGTTGCCCGAAGACCGTGTAGGGGGAATGGACTCAGGGGGGGAATGCATCGACCCCCAATCGCCAATTGATCGGCTATAGAGGACCGACAGCCGATAGCCCGCCCTGGCCCAGGAGCGTGCGGATTCGCCATGGGGTCTCGTGCTCCCCCTCCTCCTCTTCCTCCGAGCGAGCTTCTTCGAAGTACATTGCTGGGCGCGCGTGCTTGTCGGCCGCTGGTGTTGCGGCTCAAGTCTAATTCAGAGGGCGGTGCATGGGAGTCATCTCATTCCTTCGAGCCAAAGTCTTGCCATTCGCCCTCAGTCAGTTGCCTCAGGCAGTCCAGGTGTTGATACCAGGGCACGAGGACGCAGGTGGGTGCCTCCTCCTCTCGGAGCTCACGGGCAGCTTGCGGGGCTTCCTCGCAGGGGTCTGCGCCCTCTGCTTCTTGATTGGAGCTGCTGCGGGGTGCTGCTGCTGCATTGTGGGCTATGGAGGCTGGTCTACATGTCGGCGTCCCGTGGCAGGCCGGACGGGACTGGCAAGTGAGTATCATCATCTGCGAGCGCTCGGGCGGGGAGTACACCGTCGGCGACCCAGCACCTCCAGCTCTGGTGACGAAGTGGTTCTGTTGCCTCACTCCAGACGGGGACATCTTGCTGCACCTCCTGGCGGTCGGGGCTCTGGCTGGGGTGGTGGTGCTCGACAAGACGGGCCAGCCCACCGACTCCACCTCCGAAGGCCAGAAGTCGCGGAGGAGACACTCGGTATGCGGCGCCGACCGGGAGGCGATGGCGCTCGACTACGTAGCAGCCTTGCGGTTTTGCCGCCCCGAGGCTCTCTCCAGCGGTCACCCGAGCCGGCGGCTCCGTGGGAAGCAATTGCGACCAGCATCGGGAACGCCGTCAGGGGATGGAGCAGCGAAGGTTCCGACTGACATGGAGGTCTCGGAGGGAGCCCTGCCGACGCCGCCCGACGGGCAGTGTGGGGGGATCCTCGCCACGACGGGCTCGGACACCGCGCGCACGGAGCGTTTCGGTGGCGCGACCGACGGATATGCTGTCGCAGGCGGGTTCGGTGTCGTACCGATGGGCTTGGAGGCGGATGTCGTGAGAGGGGTGAAGCGTGACGAGCTCGGAGGCGACGGGGACTCAGACGCCCGGTCGTTCAACATCAAGGTGGTGTTTGAGGGGGAGCGGTGCCGTCTGACCAAGGATGCCGTGAACCTCCTCAGCGAGGCGAGCTGGCCCGTCCGGCCAGTGCTTGGCCCGCACACCACTCGTCGGTGCTTGCCGTTCCTGGCGGACCAGGACGTACATCCACGGGCACGGCACACGAGGTGGAGGCACGAGGCCGGGGTCTCGCTTGACGACCCCGGCGTCTCCGACCACGAGCTGTGCATGCGCGTGGTCGGCCTGGGCATGTCCTTCGACCAGCTGAACGACGGCGAGCTGGGCTTCTTCGAGTACATCGCAAGGCGGGCGCAGCTCATTGAGCACTGCTACCGCGAGAGGGCCATGGACCGGCCCGACGGCATCGACGGAGCCGAGGACGACTACCTCATGATGGGGACCCTGGAGACGCGCGGCCATTTGAAGATCGCGCCGGAGCTCCAGGACTACATCACGGCCGAGCTCCACCTCGAGGCGGGCCTGTTCGAGGAGCGGCGCGAGCTTCGCGAGGAGCGGGCCATCTCGTCTTGCGGCGGCGGCGGAGGCTGCGCAGGCAGTGCCGGCAACGACAGGGGCTCGCTGCAGCAGAAGACCCAGCAGCAGGCGGCGGAGCTCAAGCGGCTCCAGGCGGGCCGTGGCAGCGGCGGCGGAGGCGGCGGCGGCCAGCAGGAGGGCGATGCCGGAGGCGGCCGCGGTGGCGGCCGCGGGGGCAAGTAGCCCACCGGCGCCACCCGCCGGCCGGGCTGCCCCAGGGCGTGCCCTGCCGGCTCTTCGGCCGGGATGGTGGTCGCTCGCGAGCTGCTGCCTATCAACCTGGCCGCCCTCTCGGCCCCGCGCGAGCCACCTGGCGTCGGCCGCTGCAGCCGCAGCGTCCGCAGCCGGGCCCTCCGCCGGACCCTCGTCGACGAGCGCGTGCGTGAGTCGGTGACCGCCCTCAACCTTCTGTACAACCACGGCGAGGCCCAGGTCTCGCACCAACTTTCTCTTGCTCAGGTCCGTGGTGTCGAGCATCTCCGACGTGGTTGGGAGCGACTCGGTGCCCCGGAGGTGAGCCCCGCGGCAGCCTGCAGTGAGCTGTGCGGGAGCAGGCCCGGGTATGGCGACCCGGTGAAGACGGCTCCTTACCAGCGAGACCTCGTCTCGCTGCCGACCGGCGGGGTCCTGGCCGAGGGGGACCGGTGCCTCGGCGGTGCGGCTTTAAGTTTCTGGAAGGAGTGGCGACAGCATCTTTTGCGGCCCGGTGTCAGCCGGGAGGTAGTGCAGAAATTCAGGCCTCACGTCGACAGTCGGCTACGTGCGAAGGGTACCTACGCCCAGTTCGTGTTAGACCTCCAGGCCGCCGGTTTGGTGAACCTGAGGGGCCGCCTCGACGCGACCTTGGGAGTGTTCTTCGCGTGGAAGAGTGACGGCGTCAGGCAGAGGCTGATATTCGATACTAGGGGTAGTAACGAGTTTTTCAATTCGCCCGAGTATTCTCAGCTGCCCACGGCTAGTGCATGGAATTCCTTGTATGTGCCAGATCAATGCGAGCTCTCTTTGTGCCAGGCAGACGTTGACAATGCATTCTATCGTATCGGCCTGCCCACAGGGATTGAAGATTATTTTGTCCTCCCTCCTGTCTCTTGCCGCCACCTCGAGGCACTTTGCCCAGGCAGCTCCGGGGAACTTCGCGGGGCGGGGGAGCTCTCGCCCGTCCTCCGCGTATTACCCATGGGGTGGTCTTGGTCTTTATACTTCTGTCAGTGTATGGTAGAACAAGCTGTTCTCGACTCCGGCCTCCCCCCTTCCAGACTTGTCCAGGATAGACGGGCGGCCGCCGGCCTCGAGGAAGGGCCTCTCGCTGCCGTCTATGTCGACGGGGTCGCTTTCCTCGGGGCCAGCGAAAAATGCTGCTCGGACGGGTGTGCGTCCGCCGTCGAGCTCCTAGGATCTCGTGGTCTGGTTTGCAAGGGGATGGTCGGGGCGTCTGAACAGCAGTCTTTCACAGGCCTCACGTTCGAACGCAGCTCGGGAATCATTTCGCTTTCGACCCGGCGCTTGTGGAAAATCCGCCTGGGGCTCTTGGAGCTCTGCCGCCAGGGCTGGTGCACCGGGGTCCAGCTGCGCCGGGTCTTGGGCCATTTAACTTGGGCTTTCCTGCTGAAGCGTGAGCTTTTGTCTATCCTCAGCAGCGCTTTCCGTTTTTGTGAAATGGCCGGGGAGCAGCGGTGGCGTCTCTGGAGTTGTGTGACTCGGGAGCTGCGGATCGCCGCAGCACTTCTGCCGTTTGCCGCTGTCGACACCAAGAGGCCGTTCGACCCGTGCGTGATGGCCTCCGACGCCTCCGGGGCCACCGAGTTCGACTTCGGGGGTTTCGGCGTCTGCGAGCGGCCCTGGGACTCGGAGGCAGTTCGAGCCGTGGCCAGCCGTGCGGAGAGGTGGAGATACTGCGTCGAGGATGCCATTTGCGCCCGGGAGCAGAGTCTCGGGCTGGTCCCTCAGGGGCCCTCCAAGCCCCGAAGTTCCCAAGTGAGAGCCCGCCGTGGGGTTACCGACTTCTTCCACATCGATGGGGAGCAGATCGGGGATTTCGACACCTGGTCCACCGTTTTGTTCGGCCGGTTCGCCTCGTCGGAGAATATTATGCGGGCGGAGGGGCGGGCCCTGGTGATGGGGGCCCGGCACAAGCTACGAAACGTCAGCAGCTTCGGTCGCCGTCATCTGCTTCTGTGCGATAATATGTCTGTGGTCTTAGCTACGGGAAAGGGGCGTTCGACTTCCCCACTGCTGAATCGAACCTGTCAGGAGTTATTGTGTCTTTCTATTCTCTCAAATACTTCATTCGTGGTCCGATGGATTGCATCAGAGTTGAACCCTGCAGACGATCCTTCTCGCAGCCTGTCGGCCCGCGCCAGCGCCTGGAGGCGCGACCCACGCGGGCCGGCGTTCCGCGATGCCCCGGCGGCCTGGGCCAGGCCTGGAGGCGCGGCCGGCACGAGCCCTTCAGCCAGCACTGCCTTCGATCGTGAGCTCGAGCGGACCATCGTGCAGCGAGCCCGCGGACAGCTTGCAGCTCCGCTCGGGCTTTGTGGTCTCGGTGACGGTCTCGATCCTGAGGCCCGTCCCGCGGGCCTGGCGCGGTGCGACGTCGAGCCCGTCGGCGACAACGGGGACCGCGGGAGTGGCAGTGCCAGCTCGTCCACCTCGTCCAGTCGCTCGGGCAGTCCTGGTTCAGGGAGCCGCCGCAGCTGCTGCAGCTCGAGGCGGACGGACCGCGCGGACCAAGAGGACGGCGCGAGCCGCCCCTCTGCAGGTTCGGTGTGCGGCCCATCGGCGCCGCCTTCTGGTCGCAGCCTCCAGGGCCGCGGCAGAGGGCTTGACGCTCCCGCAGACCTCTCGAGCGGGGCACGGGACGCAGCTGCAGTACCAGCGGCCCCACACCGACTTCCTGGGCAGGAGCCGGGGGGAGAAGCTGAGGATGAGCACCGTGGCCAACTTGGACCGGGGTCTCGCCAGCTATCTGGACCACCTGATCTTCGACGGTTGGATTCGGGGGTTCTCTGCGATCATCGGGGCCGGCGTGTGTTGCGGCTTGCTCGATTGCTGCCTCGGCCTCCTCGTCGCCTGGGACGCGCGCCTCAGGTTGGCCAGCGCTTCGATTGGCATGATGGGTGGCTCCCTGGTGACGCCAGCTCGGCGGAGCCGGATCGACCGGTGGACCATCTTGTTGTTCCCAAAGGAGCTGCCCGATCGGAGCAAGACGGGCCAGTTCGAGGAGGGGGTGGTGCTAGAGTCGGATGCCGTGCAGTGCGTGAGCTCCGCCCTGAATGCCCTGAAGTTGCGGAGCCAGGCGGACAGGCCTCTGTGGCCATCCTCCAGTCCAAGGTTCCGCCAGGAGTTCGCCGCGTGCGCCAGCCTGGAGGGGCTCGAGGACGTGCCCCCGTACCAGGACCGCCACGGGGCCGACTCCCACGACGTGCTGTTCCAAGTGGGGGAGTTCGGAGCGGTCCAGGAGAAATCCAGGCACTTGAACGAGTCGAGAACACGGCGGTGCCGCAAGGGGACCCGCTACCTGGCCACGGACGAGAAGTTGTCCCCCGAGATCAAGGCGTTCGGCGAGTGGGTCGAGGCCAACCTCGCCGGCCTCTTCTCCGGGCGGCCGCGCTGCCTAGCGCCGCCAGGGCGCAGGGGCTGAGCGCTGCCGCCCGTGGGGCAGGTCTCTGGAAGGCTGGTGACACTCTCGATTCCGCCACCCGCCTGAGTCGAGACGCCATCCACCGTGCATGGTCTCAGGCCTTTTCGGCCGCCTCCGCCGCTGCTCCCCACAAAGGCCAAGTTTTCCTTGACTTGTTCTCTGGGACTGGGGGTATCGCCCGCGGTCTTCGTAAGTGCGGCGGTTGGGGAGTCATCGAGGTCGACGCTAAGTTTAACCCCGCTTTTAACCTCAACAACCCCATGGTCGTGGAGCTGATCGTGGGGTGGATCAGCAGCAAACTGGTCCGGGGGATTTGGCTGGCCTTTCCCTGCTCTACGTGGAGCGTCGCATCTCGCGGGCGGTACCGAACCCACTCTCAGCTTTTTGGGCGCGCCGACCTGGACCCTGTGGGCCTCGAGCGGGCTTTGGCGGGCAACCGCTCCCTCCTCGCCACGTGCCGGATCGTTGGCTCGTGTATTCGGGCCCGGGTCCCTGCGGTCGCTGAGAATCCCAGCAGTAGTCTCGCTTGGTTCACACCTAACATGAAAAGATTGGCCACTCACCCTGCCTGCCGAGCTTATGTCTTTGATTTCTGCCAATTCAAAGTGCCTTGGCGCAAGCGCACAAAAATTTTGGCCTGGCACCTCCAGCTTGCTCCTCCCTCTTTTTCCCGTCTCTGTTCCTCCTGCCATGGAGTGTGTGATTTTTCTGGGGAGGCCCACGTCCATCTTTCCGGCGCAATCCCGGGGTCGTCTCAAAAATGGACCTCCCGCGCCGAGCCCTATCCGTTAGGCATGTGCACTCAAGGGGCTAAGTGGTTGTGGGCCTCCGCCGGGGCCATCGAAGCAGGTCGTCTGAATCAACTCGCGTGCCAGTGATTTTACGTAATGCTTGCCCTCTGATGACGGCCGTTACGGCCAGGGCATAGAATGGGAATTGGTGCTGTTGCGAAGCCTGCTCCGTCGACCTCGGCTCGGGCCGAATCCGTTGCGCTGCCTTCCCAACTCGCTGAGATCTCAGCTGGCTGTCGATTCCTACATAATCTGGTTCTGGCCCCTCGGGAGAGGAAAAGATGAGCGCGCCCTGCAGAGCGAGCTTCTTCGAAGTACATTGCTGGGCGCGCGTGCTTGTCGGCCGCTGGTGTTGCGGCTCAAGTCTACCTCCTCCTCCCCTCCACCTCCTTGCCGTGTCATAGCATCCCGTTTCTTTTCACGGCGGTGCTGTTGCGAAGCCTGCTCAGTCGACCTCGGCTCGGGCCGAATCCGTTGCGCTGCCTTCCCAACTCGCTGAGATCTCAGCTGGCTGTCGATTCCTACATAATCTGGTTCTGGCCCCTCGGGAGAGGAAAAGATGAGCGCGCCCTGCATCCTCCTCCCCCTCCTCCTCCTCTGGTTCTTCTTTTTCCTCGTTCCCTCTCACCCTCCTGCCCCTTCCCTCGGGCCCGCCCGCTGGTTCGCCTGTGCAGGGCGGGGCCGCCCCTCCTCATCCGCAAACGCGCCTCTGGGGCTGACGAGCCCGCCTGCCCTGAACACTTCTCGAGCAGGGCTCATCCGCGAGGGGGCAGGATCATGAGGACACACGGGTGGTTCAAACACCAATAGGGATCAGGCACAACATCAACACCATCAGCGTTAATTGCTATAGTTAATGATCTCTGACGCCTGCATGACCACTTCATGCCGATAACAATGTTGACGATCAAGAACCGTCTGTGAGACCGCCAGTCGATGGCACGTGAGCGAGCGATGAGAAACGTGGAGAAGGAAGGCTGGAGAGGGAGGAGGAGGAGGAGGAGGAGGAGGAGGAGGAGGAGGAGGAGGAGGAGGAGGAGGAAGGGCACTTTCTCGCCAGAATCCGTGAGACGTCGTTTGAATCCTAGTCCAGAGTGGCAAAGGCCTGAGGCGGTGAAGGGGCCTCGCCCCCGCCCGCGGCGGCGCCGTCGCTCGCGGCGTCAGCATTCCATGGGACGCGCGGCGCACATGTTTTTTGGGGCTCTCGTTTCTGGTGCCACATGAGCCTCGAACAACTTGTGGAGATTCTGTCTCCCCTCCTCCTCCTCGCCCTCCTCGGCCCTCTGGGGGCCTTTTCCTAAAACTAGATTTGAAACTGTTAGCCAGAGTGGACCCCAAACAGTTTGTTTCTAGCTATCTATGTGGTGCTATCTACGTGGAGCAACGCATGTAATGACATTGATTTGGTGCATTATGTTGTGTAACATGTGTGGTGTCGTGTCTCGGAGTCGAGGTGACCTTGATCAATCGAGGCGGCTTCAAGTTTGCGGGGGGGGGGCAGGAGCATGAGGGTGGGAGGAGGAGGGGATTCGGAAGGTCCACCCTCGTTTGGATTCGCCGTCTTCGTCCCGGCTGGATTCGTTCTGACATCCTGGCCTGAGAAAGCAGCGTTCTCCAGGACATGTTCGGGGGCCCATCCATGTGGCACTGGTCGTCGCGCGAGAAGTGGCGCTACGCAGTCGCTGCGCGGTGGCGTGGGCAACGACGAGGCAACATAGTCGCGATGTCAACGGAGGCACGGAGGCCCACCTGCCCGATGCATACGTGCATATACATATCCGAGTGATGGTACCGAGCGGTCTTACACCATCCGTGGGCGCGTGTCTGAAGTGGGCTGCCGTGGTAAGGATGCTTGTTTATTGTTGTTGTTTCCGTTGCCTTCGCCCACGGCCCGCGACCCATTTGTGGCACGATTGCGACCCGCCCGCGACCCACCCGCGACCTACCCGCCACCCGCACGCGACCCACCCGCGATCCAATTGCAACCCACACGCAACCCAGCCGCATTGGTTAGACATTCTGCGCTTGCGACGGGTTCGTTGTGTAATGTGTTGAATACGCACCCGCGACGGGCGTCTTCAGAGTTTCGCAGACTGCTGACGACCTCGCCACCCCCCCACTCTTATCCGCAGCTGAGGGGGTTGTGGTGTGTGTGTGTGTGCTCATGTATGTATGCATGCATACATGCATGCGTGTATGTATGTATGTATGTATGTATGTATGTATGTATGTATGTATGTGTACATATATTCATACATGTGTAGTTGTACATGTATACTCGCCACCGTGGCTGCACGATGTGGGCGCGTCAGAAGGCCAGTTGCTGCTTCGTACGGCTTTTCTTGCCTAGTGAGAGACCCGCATGCACCCTCAGAGTGCCGCTTGCACCCCCCCCGAAACCACGATCCCCCTTAACGAGAACAATTGGTTTCACGCCTGATGCCACGATCCCTGGTTGAAAGCAATGAGTCCGCGCTTCGAGTTTAAACACGGCCCGCGCAGGCAACCACGTGTGATATGGAAGATCGTTGATCTCTGTTTATCTCTCGCTCGCTGAGCGTGCTCGCAGCTCAATTGACCACGGGCCCTGAAAATTGTTAGGGCCAAGTGGGCAGCGGCGGAGGGACAGCTGAGGGGCAGTAGCAAACACAGGGGAGAGAAGCAGAGAGAGAGTGGCGGGGCCTCCGCGGTGACCCTATGGGAGCTCTGCGAGCCCTCTAGAATCACACTCCTCCTGTTGAGCGCTCTGGGTGGCCCAGGGCGACGAACACTCAGGCTCGATCGTTGCTGCATTGCGGCGGAACGGTGCCAGTCGCAGCTGGCTTTCGCGAGCAAACGGCTCGCACGGCTTGCAAGCAGGGGCTTTCGGGTCATTATTGGGTGAGTTTCACAAATTTGTGGAGTATTCCCAGCTGTCAGCGCTGCTGGCGCTATGGTAAAACACTGTCAAGGGTAGCCTGCTCGGCGATAGGTGACAGCCATCACCTCTGAATATTGATGGCGGGTGATCATCATCACCTTTGAATAGTAGCGGCGCTAGCAATACAAAGAACCTCGAAGCTGCAGCAATGCGGATATTGTGGATAAAAACTGGCCATGGCATGGTAGCGGTGCTCCAATCACTCACGCGTCTTTACGCTTGCCAGATAGAACTTTATGTGGCGATTTTCCAGCGCTCGGCTGCGCGTTGATGATTCTCCAGCGATTAGCGAGGTCATGTGCAATGCGATAGTGCAGGTTGTCCTTTTCGGGAGACCTCTTGCTGCGGAGCAGCCATGACCAATGCTGACGGCATGTGCGGCATGTCACACATACACTACTGGGATTGTGACCAAATCCAGTATTCGAGTCCATAGATCACGTACTGATTGATCTCGTCGGGGCAAACGGTTGGGGTGCTTCCGTTTTGGCTGACGATCGACGTTGATGACGAACTGCTCTCCGTAGTAGGGGTTGGTAGTGCTGAACTCGGCGAGGTTGTGGGCTGTTGCTGGACAGCAGCGGGCATCATGTGTTGGATCGCGGCGGATGCGGCAGCTTGTGCGGCAGCGGCAGCCACAGCACTAGTACCTGGAGGAAGCCCCTGGACAATGGCGGTGCCAACAGCGGTCTCCCGCCGCGCTCCGAGCGAGTCGTGGGGGGTTGTCATGGGTGCCGATGAACTTGATGATGTCGCAGTAGATGTTTCCTGGATGGGCCCGAGCGGCATGTTAATGATGCGTCCCAGTCGGCGGTCGTCTTCACCTCGTGGCCCATAGACTCGGCGGGTGTCACCTCTCGTTCCAGGGTGCGGTCCCGGTTCTTTGTGTGGCCCAGAGGCGCCAAGTAAGGACAACGCGGGCCTGGATAGCTGCCGTAGGCGCAGGCGGCACTGTACCGGAACATGCAGATAATCATCGCGGCGAAGTTGATGCCAATGAACATACCGACGAAGAGGGTGCCGCACATGAGGTACCAAGCCCACTCCTCATGGTCCATTTGTGGAGGGGGAGACGGCGCAGGTGTGGGATCGGTGCCCTTTACCTTGCTGAGACAAGTCATGAGGGCGGACGCGAGCAGCGCGGCGAGCGGCTGCCTCGGCCCGTAAGTGTGTTTACGTTCTCTGAAGAACACGAGCAGCACTGCGGCCTCCATCGTCTTCGTGAGGACGTCCGCGACCGTGGCCTAGGTTGGAATCCACGTAAGACGTAGTGCGCTGGCGGGGTGGGT